GGACATCGCCTACGTGTATGACATTGCCAAACACATGCAGAACATGACACAGGGCAGCTAAGCCCAGAGTTACACACACTATAGCTTTCAGAACTCCTCCCCACTTCCCTCCTTGCTTTTCATGCTGGACTCATACACATCTATCAGCTTTTATACAGTAACTGACTCCAGAGTTTATCTCTTTGTGATAATCAGTATGTGTAACAGTATCATCAAAGTGAGGGTACAGTCTAAAACATGACTGCTGCCCAAACCTTTTCTGCCCCAGTATAAAGATTGTAGAGATTTTACTTTTTTGTCAGATGGACCTCCCATTCCTTAATAATGTTACAGTACTGAAAATCAGTGTATTGTAGCTATGGCTTTAAAATGCATATCCTCTGTTTTTTTCGTGTAGTGAAGTAAAGCTGTTCTTCAGCAGCTACTATAAGCAGATGCTATTTAAAGCAGATGTACTGGACAATTACAAAATTATTAGGTTAGGTATTACCAGCAAAACAGTTAATCAATGCAGATATCCTTAAAAATGACCTCATAGGCTTATGGTGGGTCTCATGAGACCTATGGTCAGTGAATAGTATAAAATAAAACCATAAAAATGTTGAATGAGAACAATGGTTAAATTGGAGTGTAGAGATCTTCACTCAATGGCAGAAAGAGAGAGAGATAGAGATGTAACAGTGTGTTATTAATGGTTGATGCATTGTTTTGTTGCACTTTTTACCCTGGTACTGGAAGGCTGGCAGGGTGATCATGTCTAATGAATGTATTAGGGAAGGAAGAATCAGTTAGAGGGTAGACTAGATGCGTGCTGGGTGGGGGGGATGTAAGTCATTTTGACACCTATGTATTGTATTTGGAAAATTCAGAATGTCTCTTTTTTGACATCCTAGAAGGAGTGGTAGAAGCAGTTTGCTCTTTACCTTTGACACAAACACCAAAATAATTCCTCCTTGGTTCAGCCAAAGCAAGGTATACTGCTATTACATTTTGAGAGTTTTTTAATGGGAAAGTCACAATAAAGACATGGAAAGAAGGTCCAAGTCAAAACACATAGTTCTCATCATGGTCCAGTGGATGCATTTGACGCACCAGAATTCTGTGTTAATGTTGCTGTGTGCGTTTCCAGTGTAGTTTTCATGTTAAGTAACAAATCTGTGCGAGATAGCAGATCCTTGACTTGTGTAACCATCCACAGCATGAGTGAATCAAAGCTTAACTACGTAACAGTGTAACTATGTCCTTAGTTTAATTACCAAAGAAAATATATATAATATTTTATGAAAAGTATATCAAGACTTGAAAAAAAAAACAAGCACCATTGGGACTCATTTTGTTTTACTGTACATAGTGAAGGAGTTCCTATAGTTTAAATACTGTAAGGTTTTAGTGACCCCTTTTGCAGTGAATAGGTTTACACCAGTGGGTCACAAATGATTAGCACTGACTACCACTGGTTTACATAATGACAATGATAAGTAAACAATGATTGATAAAGCTTTATTTCAGTGTCTTATGAATTCTCTTTTACCATATAAAATAGCCTGTTAAACGTTCGTTATTACAGAAATTATTGTACATGTCTGCCCATGTTTTTCATGTTTGTTTTTTTAAATTAACATTTAATAACATGTGTTATAAAAAGAATCAACGCATATAGGTGCAAGGAAATGTAAGTTATTTTGTTTTGGTCAACAGAATATTGTGATAGTTTGTTGATAGTAGTTATTTGTCTGAAACTTGTTTGCAGTTCTTGTTTTCAATTGTACAACTTGTCCTTTTTGTTGTTCCTTTATATTGCATTTATCTCCCACTGCAGTAAAATGTTTTCCATTTCAGTAATTATCTTAAGTTTTCTCTACACCCAGTGTGCTGTTTATCTTCTTTCCCTATGCTCTCTAAACAAGAGTTTCTGTATAGCTCTGAAACTTTTTGTATTGCTTTAAAGCATTTTTAGATATTTAGTTTTGATGCTATACAGAACTCCTTAAAGAAATTGGTCATATTTAACAGCAAAATACCAAAAATGCCTTTTCTTTTGTTTTGGCTAATCATTTACACTGATTTCACAATGACAAGGCACTATAGTGAGTTATAAGGAAAATGGTCCAGAAAAGATGTAATAGATATTGAATGGCTGTAATTTTATCATATGATGTCAGAAGACATTTCAGTGTAATTGAAAGAGGTCCTATTATGCTCATTTTCAGGTGCATAATTTTATTTAGGAGTTGTACCAGAATACATTTACATGGTTGCACATTTTCAAAAAACACCATATTTTTGTCATACTGCACATTGCTGCAGCACCTCTTTTTTACCCTTTATGTCAAACACTCCGTTTTAGCTACCGAGTGACGCATCTCACTTCTATTTAATCTTTGTTGGGAGTTGCACATGCGCAATATCTATGTAAGGACTATTAGCCAATGGAAAGGAGATGAGGGCGGGTCCTGGCAAGTGTGATCCATACCTCATAGTGTGGGTATCTAACATTGTTTTTATTTTGGTAGGTGAGCATTATAACTCATGTTACAGAGTATATGGAAGTAAAGGCAGTTCAGGAGCAGTGTATCTGTGGGAGATGGTAGCTCCCTTTGGGGGTGGACTTTGGGCTTTTTCACTTTGCAAACCTATTACATGCACAAAAAAGATATATAACACAATAAAGGGAAGGGGAAACGCATAATATGACCTCTTTAATGTTTTGCCTTCTTTTAAAACCAAAAGCATACACCTTGTGTTTATCAGTTACCTTGTTAGTAAAGAATTATGCAATATGAGATGCAGTCAGGTTGCATTGCCTTAAAACATTCTGTATCTGTGGACTAATGATTATGTTCTCTGTTTACACACAGAAATGGAGATCCAGGTTTTTCTGTTTTATATCCTCAGTAGAGGGTTGTTCATAACACACATTGCTAAGTCACTTTAAGAATTGTGACCATTTTGTGGTAGGGAGTGTTTTTTCTTTATGTAACATATACCTGCTCTCCTGTGTCCCAGCCTTTTACCTCCACTCAGTTTACTTTTCCATCGTCCTTCTAAAGTAGTTACGGAGGAGTCCAGAGGTTTTCCAGAATGTCAAATATTGGAATTAATATTTATTGTTTTGGGAGTGTTATGTTGTTCTCTTAACATTACATGTCAAGTTAAAGGCCCTCATCACAAATGCCTTGTATGTCAACTAAATGCAATAAAGCTTTCAAATTTCTTTTGGACATTGAAGCAAGTGTTTGGAGCTCTTACCAGGTTTTAATGACTTTGACGTCTTATCTAATCTTTCTAACAGGCATCACTGTTTGTGCAGTAGTTAAAATAAGTAATCAAAAAGGAGAATCTTAAACGTATGCGATACCAAGCGTTACAAAGCGGTCAGTATAATTCAGTTGCAGAGCCGCAGCAGTTTCAGACCTGCAGTTCTGGACCTTTTCATTTGTAGGGAAGGAATAAACTCCTACCTACAAAGTGTAAATATCAGTGGCATAAGGGGACATGTTTCATGTTACATGCACGTACAGTAAGAGTTGGTCCATGTCACTTTGATGGACAAATGATACCAGCTTAATGAAAAGTATTTTCACATAGCTTCCATTTTTTCCGTAACACACCATCAGTCTGTGTTATGTTGTTTATCACAAACAACATAACACAGACTGATACCAGGACAAACAGTGGAGTCTGGATTCCCCTTACTTACATCCTGCATTGACTTTTTATTATTCTAGAAGTTCGTGTGATATACAGTATTTTAACATACATTGATGAGCCAAAGCCAAGAGAGGAAAATGTAATGTTTTAATAGTTACAAGTTAAATGGTATTTAATTGTGAGTATTTAGTATTGAGCAGAGGCCAGTCTGACGCTATGTTACTTTTTAAAATTTTATTATGATATGATTTCATACAAATATGAAGGGGGCAATACCTCAAAAACACACACGCAAAAAACAGCAGCTGTAAAAAAAGCCAAAATGCCACAAAAAACTCCACCTGTCATTCATTGCCTGCAGGTGGTGGAAGTATCAAATTTCTGCGTCTTTTTTCTTCACCAGTTTCTTTTCTTGCCTACAGGAGGTGACATCAAATGTACGTCTGCATCTCAGGGACTTAATAGCTACTTCTGTCACTTTTCTATAGGTGGCGTAGTTTTACACATAAAAATACAAACAGACAAAAATGACATGATCACGGCAGAACAGTAAAACACAAGTTGACACAATGTGAAAGCCATGCCACACAGGAACATTTTTAAGTTTGATTTTAAAATACGTATTCTACCAGTCCAACACAATACTGTGTATAGCTTTATAGCCATAGCCCCAGATACTTGGTTTGCTTTTTGACTTGCTGTAAGATGATTAAAGACACCTTTGGTATCCTATGGTCCTGGGCCTGTATTTATAAAGCTTCTCAGAGTGCCATTTTAGTCTTAAGTGCTGAGAATTCATGAAATTTACTTCTACTTTCAAACTTAAGTAAAAAAGCAAGTTATCAAATTTCTTAAAGCTACGAATCACTCTTACTCTCCCTGTAAGACAGTTTGAGAGGTCTCTCAAGTTGTTAGTTGCCAGTAGGGGCTTGTGATGGCACTGAGGAAATGGAGATGTGCGTGAATTTTTCAGGAGAGGGAGAATGTTTTTGAATTGTTTGACGACATGCAGTTAATCAACCAGTATCGTTTGGACAGAGCAGGCGTCTTCTTTGTCAGCAAGTTGGTGAGGGACATCATCTCACCACTGATTTTACGCAGCATTGCATGTTCAGCTGAATTGAAGGTAGTGACAACGCTTCATTTTTTCCTTGCCACAGGAATAATGCAGCAATGCGGTACTGATGATTTGGGGCCATCACAACCATCAGTAAGCCAAATTGTCATGGAAACAATTGTGGCACTTACAGCTCTACACATTGTCATGCATTTCAACGACTTCCCAACAACACCTTGCATAATCCATCAGAAACAAACACAATTCATGCAAATAGCAGGCTTCCCAGGAGTAGTAGGCGCATTAAATTTAATGACAAAAGAAAAGTTCTGCTTGTTACAATGTGCACATTAAAAAACAGAAAATAAGAACGCATTATCCAACTAAGACTGGAAAAACAAAACTTTCTGTCAAACAAGACATTATGAGTCTAAATAGACTTGGAGCCTGGGTAGACAGTTTAAAATGTCTACTGTATACTGAACAAATTAACAGGAGTAAATGATGATTTGGTTGGCTGCTGCATCAGGCCTTTCTTCATCAGATTGAGGTGTGTTAACATAGACTAGGAAACAAAAAACAGGAAATTGTGCAAATTATTGTTGGCTGCTCATCAAACTTTAGTGTACTTCACAGACATACTGGGTGGTGATGGTGCAGTGGATAAGACACATGCCTTTGGTGTGAGAGACCCGGGTTTGAATCCTCACGTGGGACACCAGTGTGTCCCTGAGCAAGACACTTAACCAATAGTTGCTGTGACCTCTGACATATATAACAATTGTAAGTCGCTTTGGACAAAAGCGTCAGCTAAATGAATAAATGTAAATGTGCTACACTAAAGAGATTTAGTCCAAGTTGCTTTAACACTACAGGTTGGTATGATTTGCAGTAGTTATGCAGAAATCCTGTTTTGTTATAATTCAGAATTCCTAATGGATTATTATCTTATTATGTTTATTATCAAGTATAGTGTTACACATTTACAGGTGATGATGTAATAGCCTAACAGTTAAAACATCAATAACTTGTAGATGTTAAATGTGATCACTAGTTGTCGCTTACTCAAAGACTTCTGTAGTAAAAACAAGAAAGCCTACTTACTTGCTATTGATTTAAATATCACATCTTCATTCACGTCACTATAGAGAAAATAGTGAAGATTGGCTTTAAAGAGTAACATTTATTTGGATTTAACTCGTCACATATGGACGCCTAGTCAAGACCCATCGGCGGAGTTTGCATAAGTATTGTTGCATATTTGTTGTTCCTAAGCATTGCACACTTGACCGTGGAGCCTTAAATGTCTAAAAGTGACACTAAAGGAGTACCCAGGCCGTTAAAAGCAACGCCAAAGGACGTTGACCAAGCAAGTGACAAGTCGGGAGTGAGAATCTGTTGCACTGGGCTATTAAAAGGATTGGAGACATGTATAATGGGTAAACATGTTTCATTGTTCACTTTCTCTGTCATTTTTAATCTGATTTAAAGAACTGGGATCCGTTGTACTGTAAATTACTCTAATTAATACTACAACTGTAAAACAAACTCGAGACAATGTGACAGTCAAACTGAAGCAGGTGGTAAGAAGTAAAATTATCTTTACTGTCTGTACCTCCTGCACTTCTGAACGAAGATCCCCACAGCCAGGACCACACATGTGTTGTTGATGATGATAAAGACGACCAGAAACCCAAAGAGAGCTTTGCCATTATCTGTAAAATGTTGGGAAAATAATATCAAAGAGGTAGCAGTTGCCAAGGATATAATGTGTAGAAATGGATGTGAAATAATTTTTTTAATTAAAAATACACATACAGAGAGTGTCAAATTTTTCTTTCTTGGCGTTGCTCTCATAATGTCCATTGAAAGCAGTCACCTGGAAAGACAAAAAATCTGTTAATCAGGAATTACAGCATTTGAAAAAATCTTCTGAAACCAAAAATTAGGATTATACATACCTCCACTCTGTAGGTCGTAGAAGAGCGAAGATCTCTGAATTCAAACTCGCATTTTTTTTTTTCAGTCTTCTTCAGAGCGGCAATGCCATAATAAAGACGTGCAATGTATTTCTCTTCAGGTCCATTAAAACGTTTTGAATGAAAACAGGTGACGCTAATTACATTATGCTCTGGAATAGTCACCATCAGTTTAACGATATCTTCTGGTTCTATAAGAGAGTGAAGAAAAACAGTATATTTTATTTAGATGCACCACTGTTTGCCGACAGTGATTAGCGATTATTAGTGTGTTGTATTTGTTATGTTGGTTGTCAGAAGTAATAAAAATATAAATTGTGCAAAGCAAAAAAAGATTATAAAAAGATCAGAAATTTTGACATTCAATTTTTACTTTTTGTTATTTATCCCACTTTTGTTATTTATGTTTTTTGTTGTTTTTGTTCATTATAATGGCTTTAACTATGATGTTCTTATATTGTAGGCCTACATAATGGATATTGGTATTTGGCAATGGTATGATTATCCGCCTGTAATGTCATTTCTTAAAAAAAACAAATAATACATGAATAAAGATAAATGACGTAATGCATATAATACTTAATGCAAAAAATTGCATTTGGAATTATAATTACTTTAATTAGCTTAAACAAAATCATTAATTACAGTAAATCTTGTGTTGATGTTCCAAATTCAAATATTAATTTAGTAATTATGACCTTTGAGTGTCATAGTAAGTTGCATGATATCAGTTTTGTTCCAAAATACTGAATACTTTTTTAAGACTGTGTGGTCTTAAAATGAAAAAGATATTTACTTTTACTGCCACAAAGTCGTCTTAAGTGGATATTCCACAACATGTGAAATACACAACCTTAATAAATAAATAGTCACATTAGTCGTTTTGTATCATGTACGTGTTGACTGTAATCTGCTCCAAAACATGTGGAAATTTACTTCCAATCGCAGTTTTCTGTTTCACTTCAGCTGGTTTGCCAACGTTTTTCTTGTTGTAGGTGGGCTGGACTTTACAGGTATAGTCAGTGTACGCTGTCAGTCCAGTAAAATGACATGTTCCTCCTTGTGGATGTGTGATAACGGCAACTGCAAGATAGTTTTTAATTAGGCGGTTTGATTGAATAACAAGACAACAGAGACACAATTAAAGGATCACACAAATGTCCGTCAATCAATGTCATCCATGTGTCATTGGTACATCATCAGCTCTGATCCTACCTTTAGTATACATTATGTGCTATTGGGGAATGAAACCAGGAAAATTAAAAGTTGAAGCTAATATGTAATTTTTATTTATTTTAGAATTATTTCCAGTAAACAACCAGCTAATCATTTACTGTGAAGCTGAAGTTTTAGCTGTAAATACTTTTTTTCTGACCTTTCTGACCTCAAGAAACAATGATATTAAACTCTGACATTTTTATGTTGTTTCTGTTTCTTAATTCATGTTAATTTTGTAAATCCTCCAAACTGTGACTTGTTATAACATCTTCGGTTATTTACACTTACTTACTCAGCATGCTAAAGTGTTAGCATGGACCACTGTAGATCCATAGGTGATTCAAGTGTCCACCATTTATTTAAGTATTTAGGTAAACTAACCAGTAAAATGATCTTCAAAGACTTCCAAAAGTGCATTCCTATAAAATGAATCAAACAATTACTTAATCTGAATAATTTTACTTACTTGTGGGTTTCTGTTTGGAATTACAGTCACAGCTGCAGCCATAAGAAAGCTTCTGAAGATGAGAAAGGACATCTTGACAGTTGTTACTGGTCGTGGTCCAACTCAACACAATGGAGGTATTGGTTGCACTCGGCATTGCGTTAATTGTAAGATCTGTTAGAACACATTAGACATCTGTAACACTGACTATCTGGTGTTGTCCTTTTGTCCATAGTTATTGCAGGATACAAGCTGGTTGTTCTT